ATTCCCAGCTACCTATTTCATTATGTCTCCAAAATACAAGGAATAGGATTCAGGGTCTCGGAATCCGTACCGAGTAAATCAAAAGACATAAATCCATAAATAGGAGTTTGTTAAGAACTCAGGATTAAGATCATCCTATATATGACCATCGGTAGACTCAATCAGAATTTCTATGCTTAACGGAAATTATTAGAAATTCATATTGTGTCTGTGTCCTTGTTCCACATAATCTTATTATGCGAAATACACTCATTCAATATCTCGCCATATTAACAGTGTGGATAACACCGTTCCATTCTAAATGGGAATGACATGTATTAATAATGTTTTAATTAAAGATTCTGAACTTTAATTAAATTCATCATGAATAATGTTTTTGATTATTATCCTTAAATATTATCCTCTCGTATATAACACTTATATACTATGTTTAAGGTTACATAAACAATCACGAAATTTTCATTTGATATTCATAAAATATTCATAAATATATGCACATAAAATGATGAATAAACTCTTTTATTAATTAAATAATAAATATCCTATTGCATCTCATGCTTCTAGGACACTATTCCCAACACAATGTTGGTGAAAAATAAACTTAAATCATTTTCAAAAAACTCAATTGTTTTTGTATTGGCACTAGCATTATCTAATGTTATAGCCATTACTTTATCTCTTAATCTAAATTCATGAATTACATTTAAAATTGTATTATATATTAAATCCGTGCTATGTGATCCTAAAACACATTTAAAACCTAATATTCTCTTATCTAAATCGAATCCTTTAAAATAATGTTCGGTTACAGCAAAATAATATTTATTGGCAACGGCAGACCAAATATCTACCGTTAACGCGTCACACCCGCTAGTAAAGTGTAAAAGGTTTATTAATGCTTCTTTTTCTTTTTAAAATAATTTTAATAAATCTTTCCTAAAAGTAGTTTTTAAAGTGAACTGTGCATTAAGATTATGTACAACCTTAATATATCATTGCCAAGTAGGATGCTCTACAAAACTAAGTGGTTGATCTAATGCAACTATCATTCGCGCAACTTCCATACGAATTACTTACGGATCGTATTTCCAAGTGGTTAGACCACCGGTTGCGCGATCAAAAGATAATTGTGTTTGGCAAAGTTCGGGTCTGCCAGACTGGCTAAGCTTTTGAAGACACTTTTCAGAGTGTCTTCTCAAGTGTGTGGTGTCGTGAATAGTGTCACCTTGTAATTTAGATATATAATATTTACATTGGGCTATATATTTAGTGTTACCTTCATTGTCGATCTCCTCAATTGTGTTGAAGTGATCCTAAACTGTCGAGGTGCACTTGCATTTCCTTCTGGAGGTTGCAACACTTGTAGACGTAGTGGCACTTGCACTCGCCGCTTCTCCACGCCCACCACCATTGTGACCACGACCTCCAGTATGCCCACCAGGGCTCGAATTATTAGATTCCTACGTAACAAATTTATTAGTGGGAAATTGCCCTTCTTTTACGTTGTGTTGGGCATCAACAGGAATACCACTATAATCAAAAGAATCTATTATAAAAAAAATAAGAACGATTTGAGAGAGAGTGCTTTAGGATAATGTGATAGTTTTTAGAAAAATTATGAGAGAGATTTGAGAGATTGAGAGAAATTGAGAGAGATTGAGAGAAATTGAGAGGGATTGAGAGAGTTTGAATGAGAAAAATGTGTGCAGGATTTGGGGTATTTATAGTGAATTTTTGGGTTAAAAAATTGATTTTTTCTCCCAAATTCAGATTCAACGACTAGTTTTTTTTGTTGCGGCGAGTCAGGTTCAGACAGAAAATCGGGCAACGGTATAAAAAACTAGCCGTTGGGACCAAGCTTTTTAGGCTTCGGGTCAGGTCGGGCTCCAACGGTAAAAAATGTGTCCGTTGGTCGGGTTTTCGGGCTTCGGGCAAATCGGGCATGACCGGAAAAATTCAAAAAAATTCCGACAGACGGCGATAACATGGCGGCGGGCTCCGGCGTGGTGTCCATTTTCGGGCTGCCCGAGCCCAAGCCTGAAAATTTATTTTTGGATGGGTTGGCAGTTGGGCTTGCCCGCCCAGCCCGAAAAATTTAGGCCTCGAACCGGCCCGCCAGCCCAAAATTCCAACACTACTCATTATTACCTTTGATTTTGATTTTTTTTATTTTTAAAAAGCCCGAACTACCAGCGAACACTCCTAGTAACTGCTGATTTGATTTAAATATCATTATCAACAATGGCTTCTTATTATATTTTTTATAAGAGAATCTGTGACAGTGACCCATGATATTTGCATTACCGATACCCAATCCAACAGCTGATATTCAAAGAAAGATGAAAAAGTATGGTTTATAATAATGTTAATGTATGACACACTATACCAGATTGGACTCTCAACTCCACCCTCGACTGCGCGAGAAAATCAAGATATTTTTTAGAGAGATAAATTTCAAACTTTTCCACAAAGGGTCACGAAATTAGAGAGAGGATATTGGACCTAATTAACAGCAGAGGCGCATGTTTTTCCCTTTGGAATTTCCGAATTTTTGTTTATGAAAAATCACCTAATTGTTCCAACAAAATTTTATTTTCATCCATAAAAAAAGAAGGAAAAATCTATTTAAACGGTTTTTGAATCACAAACGAGAAAAACTTCACAAGTTTATAAAACTATAAATTAGTAATGAAAAATCCTTGGCCATGTTGATGATTTGAAGAGAGAGATTTCACGATCTGAATCACTTTCCCATGCTTTCTATATAACACTTCGACTTCCCGCGCCGTTAATTACCATGAGTTCTACTTATTTTAATTGGAAAACCCTTTAATCATGTTGGACGTACACTTAATTACCAAAATCAGATTTTTTAACTTCTTTTAATTTTAAATTTTCCTTTCATTTACTCTCACGGATTTGTGAAATAAAACTTTATGAACTATGCGTGGGAAACCTTACCGAGATTTTAACTACTAATAATATTAATATTAAAACCTAGTTCTATGTACCTAAAATCAATAATAGTCAGAATGTGTCAAGTATTTTTAAACAGAAATTAGTAAGTCTATTTCTTTAAAAGCATTTAGATTAACGTGCATGGAAATTTCGCTGCATGGTAGTATCTATACTTTTGCCTCCGCTCCGAGCGCAACATTGCTACCGATTTATAACTTTCTAGCCTACAGTATGAACACAATTTATGAGTAAAAGTTGAACAAGTACAAACAAATCTCATAAAATATTTGTATAATAGGGATAATTTCAATTGGTATCTTGTATTATAAAGAAATCGTCTTTTAGTACCTCATGTTTTTTTTTTAAATAATTTTAAATTAGTAACTCGGCGTTTGAAAAAAATCGGTTTTTGATAAATTTTTCCTTTTTAATAATTTTTTATTTTAAAAGGTCCATTTTTCGGTCGGTGTCACAATGAGTGTTATAACACTAGTTGTAACACTGATGACATATACGTATAAATGAATATATTTTTCTTTGATTCAGCAGCAGCAAATTATAAGTGCATAAATATTAACGAAAACATAAAAGACACAAGGAATTGATATCGCAGTTCGGTGCGCACACCTACATCTCTGAGGTCACGCCCAGACAGTGAACAATCTACTAAGATAAAGAGATTACAAACACCAATCAGTCTTACACACTCAAAGACTCCCTCCTTGATGTTGTTGCCGCTGTGGAGAATCCTCTTAGTGGCATTGTCCAACGAGCACTACTCGTCTTTGAAAACTTTCTCCCGAAAGTAATACGTTCTTCTCCTGAAGAACCACCTTTTATCTTTTTCACTCAAAGAGCATCAAAGCAGCCTTTTGCTACAGAATATTTCATTCAAAAGCTCTCCCCCACATTCATGGCTGCATGCTAATTATATACAACCCAAATTGGTCTATATTACTATTTATTCCTCCACTAAAATCATCCTAAATAAAGCAACTTCTCCTCCAAGGATTCTTCCCATACATAGAGCCCATCAATTAACCAACAAAAGTCAAACCAATCAGCTCCATATTTGCTTCATGTACAGCACCTTCCAAATCATTCATCAATCAAGCCAAAAACCACTCCACGTACAAGAATATCACCAAGCAATAAACTAAGCTTGATACTCCACATGTTTAGCTTTCCTCCTTCATTAATTTGGATTTGTCAACCATTCTAAATACAAAATCATGCAGTACTTTCCATGATTTCTATCAAGAAAAACATTCCATATTCGAAGTAATCAAGTAACCAAAATCACCTATGATCTTTTCCATAAACACAAGTTGCCAAATATACCTGTTTTTGAATTTTTACAATCAATGCCAACAAATTGCCAACTAAAGTCCTAACAATCTCCCCTATTAGCATTTTTGGTAAAACTAACACAAGTTCCTATTTGCAATAAAAATTTAAAAATTAAAAAAATCAGAAAAGTACAATGTTCTCCCCCTTTTTGACAAAAATAAGCCAAAAAATAATAATAATAAAAAACTTCTAGAAACTGTTGTCGCAGAAAGTGTTGCAACACCTGATGGAACACTCTGTGCAATACTTTCCTGCATATCACATTCTAATTCATTGATTTCTGCAAATCGCTCCCCCTGAATCCTCTACGAGTCTTACTCTCCCTGAATGTAACATTCTCTTAATCTTGTTATTATCACATGTTAAATGCTTGGACCAGCAACCATTAGTACACAGACAACCATTAGTACATGCTTCTAAAGAAGTATAAGTCATATGACACCTTAAATCATCTTTTCTTACCCACACATACACATCAATCTTCATTCTAGGTGTCCTTCTTGTGAAATTTGGTGGATTAGGAAGCATACCTCTCTTCAAAGCATTCAAATACTTGTAGCATCTTGGTCTTATATGACCAGCTAAACTGCAATAATGACATATGGGGACAAATCTTTTACGTCGAGGAGGTAAGATAATAACCTTCTTACTGAGGGTAGTCTGAGGTTCAGGAGTGGGTGTCTCCTTCATAAACACTTTCTTGGATGTTGAGCTTTCACCAGTGTATCCAAGGCCTTGCCAATCACCACTTGATCTTCCCAATAAAAGAATATGTTCTAGTTTATTTGTACCAGAAGTCATCATGTTCAAATTTTTCTGAGTGCTCTCTAGTTCAGCCCTTGTTTCCTTCAACTTCTTTTCTCTCTCTGTAGCAAGGAATTCATAATTATCAGCAGCTCTCTTCAACACATCATTCTCTTTGACAAGCTCATTGGCGCGCTTCCGTAGAGACTTATTTATTTCACACATTTTAACCCATTTGCTGAACATGGTCTTATAAGCTTCCTGTATGGCATCAAGAGTCAATTCCTCACCATCACTGTTACTTTCAGAATTTGAAAAATCTCCATTTTCGCTGTTCACGGATTATGTTTCAGCATTTGTTGTAACACTGTCTGCGACACCTTTTGTAACACTATTTGCAGAAACACCTTGATCAGTATAAACATTAAAAGCAACATAGTTACTAACATGGTCTTCATCCTCCTAACTGCCTTCAGAGTCTTCATCACTCCACGTCGCATTCAGAGACTTCTTCTTCTTTAGAGTGTTGGCACACTCGGATTGAATGTGGCCGTAATCGTCGCATTCCCGGCATTGAATACCCTTATTTTTTGTCTTCATCTCTGTGTTATTTGCTGCAGCTTTATTCTTCTAGAAATGGTTTGTGTTTCCAAAGTTTGGTGTATGGTTCTTCTTGTTGAACTTCTTCATCACCTTGTTGAAATTCTTCGATAATCATGCTATGGACTCGATTAAGTCTTTTTCATCATCGGACTCAACTTCTTTAACTTCGGCTTGAAAAGTAATGTTTTTGTCCTTCTCTTTCTTGTTTTCATTCAGGTTCATCTCGAATGTACGCAAAGAGCCAATTAATTCGTCAGGTTTCATTGACTGCACGTCTTTGGCCTCTTCAATAGTTGTCACTTTATAAGCAAACCTTTGAGGGAGTGATCTCAATGCCTTCCTCACCAGTTTTTCCTCAGGAATTTTCTCACCAAGTGCAAAAGCTTCATTAGCAATATCACATAACTTTGAATTGAAATCAGAAATTATTTCATCTTCAAGCATGCGTAAGTTTTCAAACCTAGTAGTGAGAATTTGAAGTTTTGATAGTCTCACGGCTGCCGTGCCCTCATACGTCGTCTGTAGAATTTCCCAAGCCTCCTTGGCTGACTCACATGTAGAAATAAGTTTGAATTGATTGACATCCACCCCGTTGAAGATGACATTAAGTGCTCTTGAATTGCTATTCACCAATCGATCTTCTTCAGTAGACCATTTCTCTTCAGGTTTCATAACTTCTTCTCCAGCCTCATTTTTAGTAACGGGGTGTGTCCAACCAATCAACACAGCACGCCACGCTTTCGCATCAAGTGCTTTGATGAATGCCTTCATACGAGCTTTGCAATAAGAATAATTGCAACCATCGAGGAGAGGAGGGCGTGAAACCGAACCACCTTCTTTAAGAAAATTCATCCCTGTTACAATAGACTAACTCCTAAAATCTCACCAAGCAAACGGTTAGTGACCCGCTCTGATACCAATTGAAAGGTCCGTTTTTCTGTCGGTGTCACAAAGGGTGTTATAACACTAGTTGTAACACTGATGACAGATACGTGTAAATGAATATATTTTTCTTTGATTCAGCAGCAACAAATTATAAGTGCAGAAAGATTAACGAAAACATAAAAGACACAAGGAATTGATATCGCAGTTCGGTGCCCCACACCTACATCTCCGGGGCCACGCCCAAACAGTGAACAATCTACTAAGATAAAGAGATTACAAACACCAATCGGTTTTACTCACTCAAAGACTCCCTCCTTGATGATGTTGCCGCTGTGGAGAATCCTTTTAGTGGTCTTGTCCAGCAAGCACCACTCATCTTTGAAAGCTTTCTCCCGAAAGCAATACGTTCTTCTCCCGAAGAACCACCTTTTGTCTTTTTCACTCAAAGAGCATCAAAGTAGCCTTTTGCTGCAGAATATTTCATTCAAAAGCTCCCCCCACGTTCATGGCTGCATGCTAATTATATACAACCAAAATTGGTCTATATTCCCATCTATTCTTCCACTAAAATCATCCTAAATAAAGCAACTTCTCCTCTAAGGATTCTTCTTATACATAGAGCCCATCAATTAGCCACCAAAAGTCAAACCAATCAGCTCCATATTTGCTTCATGTACAGCACCTTCCAAATCATTCATCAATCAAGCCAAAAACCACTCCACGTACAAGAATATCACCAAGTAATAAACCAAGCTTGATACTCCAAGTGATTAGCTTTCCTCCTTCATTAATTTGGATTTGTCAACCATTCCAAATACATAATCATGCAGTATTTTCCATGATTTTCATCAAGAAAAAATTCCATATTCAAAGTAATCAAGCAACCAAAATCGCCTATAATCTTTTCCATAAACACAAGTTGCCAAATATACATGTTTTTAAATTTTTACAATCAATGCCAACAAATTGCTAACTAAAGTCTTGACAGATTTGGTAGACTGGGGATTACTAATTCCAATAAGCTTTTTTTCTTTTTTCTTTTTTTTTTTTTTTATAATTTGGGGTGAGGAGATTAGAACTCCACAGTAGGTTTGTTGGAGTATATGAAGTAGAAATTAGTTTATGAAATTCGTTTTATTAATGTACACGTTATCCAAATGAGGTTCAACATGCACTCATATAATGTTTATTTCCATTCAAGGTCCAAGGCTTATAAAACGCTGTTCAAGGTTCTTTGCATAGAGGGGTAGAGTGCATAGCTTGGTTGTTTGTGCTATGGAGGTTGGATCGATGGCATGTTGGGCGTCGCTTGCGCGGAGGAGCAGAGCGTGATCTTGCGTAGACGGGTGGGGCAATCAGAGCAACGAAGAGCAGTGACAAAATGAGTGCTAGCTCTATCAGACAATAAAATTAATACAACGTCAGAGAGGGGAAGTATAATTAGTTGGCCTTGAATTTGTCTTAAATTTTGCTTTTTGTACCTTATCATGTAAACAAAGTAATTCTGCTCTACAAAAACAACAAACTGTAACGCAGTAAAGCACGGCTTTATTCATATTATATTAATTTGACATTAGAACTTACAAGACGCCTCATTAGCACACATCTTATTCAAACAGTGAAAACATCGCAAGAAATGCATATTATAAATAAAAACATAGACTTGGATTTTGACATAGTTGACGATCATAAAGAGATATTAGGCTTTTGCAGATCCCAAATCTTGGATAGACTTTTCTGTGGGTAATTTTCCATCCTCATGAATTCCTTTGCTTGGCCGTGGCTCAAATTCATCTTTGAATCATTTCTCTTCTATGGGAACAACTTTTTTCTCTTGCTTGTCATACAATAGCAGGTTTGGTTGTGGCTCAAAATCATTAGCAAATGATTTCTCTTCTTTGGACACGCCCTTTTTCCCATCATACAAAAGGAAATTTGGTTGCGGTTCAAAATCATTTGCAAATGATTTCTCATCTCTGGAAACAACTTTTTTCCCATACTTATCATACAAAAGGAAATTTGGTTGTGGTCCAAAATCATTTGCAAATGATTTCTCATCTCTGGAAACAACTTTTTTCCCATACTTATTATACAAAAGGAAATTTGGTTGTGGTTCAAAATCATTTGAAAATGATTTATCATACAAAAGGAAATTTGGCTGTGGTTCAAAATCATTTGCAAATGATTTCGCATCTCTGGAAACAACTTTTTTCCCATACTTATCATACAAAAGGAAATTTGGTTGTGGTTCAAAATCATTTGCAAATGATTTCGCATCTCTAGAAACAACTTGTTTCCCATACTTATCATACAAAAGGAAATTTGGTTGTGGTTCAAAATCATTTGCAAATGATTTCGCGTCACTGGAAACAACTTTTTTTCCATACTTATCATACAAAAGGAAATTTGGTTGTGGTTCAAAATCATTTGCAAATGATTTCGCATCACTGGAAACAACTTTTTTTCCATACTTATCATAGAAAAGGAAATTTGGTTGTGGCTCAAAATCATTTGCTAATGCATTCTCATTGACAAGCTCGCGAATTGCCTCTGGCATAGGATGGTCTTTCATGATGTTTAACCAGTATTTTGATGCTGGATATCTTCTTGACTCTGTTGGTCCTGCAAAAAACTTAACAACGGGGAATAGTGTCAACGATAATGATTATTATTGTGAAACTTGTCCAAGCATACATATGGACATGAAGGTATAACATTTTGCCCACGTAATATATATCTGATAGCATCACAAGTCTAATATGTGATCCAAAAGCTACTATAAATATTCTAAATATAGAATTAGAAATTATCCAATGTTTCGTTGGTGTATTAATTTATAGGTCTTGTTTGGAAGACATTTCTTTGTGGCCTTTGAGCTTTTTTTTTTCTCTATTTCCTTTTTCCCTTATTATGAAATTAACATGGATATCCGGAATGTCAGAATCTTTATTCTAATAATTAGTATGTAAAGTCACATCGTTGCAATGTTTGGTAAGAGAGTGTTTCTTAATTACTTTAGAATCAGGAATTCTAAAAGGTAGCAAGACCAAAAATGCATTGTGCATATAAATAATGGTAAAAATTCAGCAACAATGAAATGTAATGTAATGATTTATTCCTCTTGTATCACAAGAGAATGCAATTCGTGATTACGTTACATAAAAAAGTGCTAGCTAGTTAGAATAACAGAAAGGGCTCACCAATACAAGTGGAAGGATATGGAAGAGAACAGAACTCATATTAGGAAGTCTCATGACTACAATGACACTGTTGCACCGAAAAATCTTAATTGTTTGTCGTTTGAATTTGCATGGGGTATTCAAACTAGCTATTTATAGAAAAAGAGACCCCCACTAACTATGTGATGTATAATTTTTCTGAATCATTCAGAATCACGTGTGCACTGTCTTTTTCACCAACAGATAACACGACTAATTAAGCATTTATGCATATTCAGCCAAAAAAAAAAAAAGCATTCAGCATGATGAAACGCATTTGCAATTATTTATTTCTCGGTTGCAAAATAAAAAATAAAAAGTCCCTTATTTAATTGATTTGATGGCATAAAATACAATATATTTCATAAGCTTAAAAGTATGGGGTTGTATGATTTTATAACGATAATTTATAATAGTATAAACGGATCGACAAATAAATAATAAAAAAAGTAACATAATTATCCAACTAAGCATTTATGCATGATGAATCATAAGCAATTATTTACTTTTCAATCTTCTTTGATATTTAGGCTATCCTGTACGTTCTAATATTGACTCGAATATTTATACATATTATCTCATTCGGCGCTGGAGCGAGTTAATGAGGTTATATTAGGTCCCTTAATCTTAGAATTGTTTGGAATTGGCTAGTATTTACCAAATAGGAGGAACTTGGGAAGAGTGAGTGAAATGGAGACTCTAGATATATTTGTGCATAGAATTTTGCATATTTTATTTTTTTTGCATTTATATTTGTTTTAGTTCTATTTTTATTTCATTTAGTTCAGTTGTCTAGATCAAGTTGAGTTACGATAATCGCAGTACTTAGCGGTAATTTAACACTCAATCTCTATAGAAACGATACTCGATCTGTGTGTCATTTTAGTTTAAGTTTTTTTTTAAAAATATATATATATATATATATATATATTTTAACACCTTTAGTATTCAAATTGATTAATTTTTCTTATGTTTTTCTGCGAAGTTTACTATATCTACACATTTTATGTTAAATTAAGAAAAAAAAAACTATATAAAGGCCAGTAAAGGGTCGTTACATGTAGATATTGGAGTACATATTGCATATTTGTTTTTGCAAGTTAAATGTTGAAAAGGACAAAGAGCTAATTCATGTAAAAACACACTGACAATAGTGTAAAATGAAAAAAAAAAATTTGATAATCGATAACGAGCTAATTCATAAACCGTTCATTAATATTTAATCTACGAATTGGACATGTATCATTGACAAGACGTTATCATACATCTGATGGATCGGATAAGCTAACATTTTCAATTCTCACTCCTCAAAGATTTAATTTAATATGCTTTGGTAATTTTAATATTGCAGTACACCATCCATTATCAACAATTGATTCCCCAACTTAATAGTGTATGATTTGTTCATTTGAATGAGATTTGTTCTTTTTGAAGAGTAATTATATGAAGAATTTCTGATTCTTTCATAGAGGATTAGAATATTGGAACTAATCATTGCTGTCAACACAACACTTCAGACGTTTGTTTTTAATTTTTTCATAGTCAGTTGAAACTTTCTTAATTGAGAAAATATTGAAGATAGTTGAGTAAGACTTAAACTGTCTCTTATAATTCAATTCTGTGGGGAGGATTTGAAGACTTTTTAGTTAACAGTACACAGAGAAAAAAAGACAATAATTGTTGCGTACAATAATTGTCAAGAAATGTACAATAATTGTTGCGTCATAAATGACAATAATTAATTTTCTTTTACAACTTGGTAGTCCCCAAAAATATATGCATAGATTGGAATTTACGCCAACCTTATCCATGCACTGTCAAGATGAAAAAAGCAACTTGCACATACTGTCAACAAAAAAATAAAATAAATTAAAAAAATGAATGTTTTATCCCAAAAAAAAAAAATTGGAAAAGGCAAGTTTTGTGTGTGTATATATATGTATGTTGATAATTTGATTCCGGGCACTTGCAGATTTTTCGCAACAATTTGATCATTTAACATGGTAGTATACAATAGTCATGGTGGTTGTCTCATTGATTCCCACGACCAACATTATAACATTTGTTCAATAAAATGTGATTTTTTTACACAATCATTTAATAAAAAGTACAATGATAGGTGTCATGATCATAGAAAATGCAATTTAATAATTTTTCTTTTTCAACATGCTAGAGCAGAGATAAGATCAGCGTACATTCTCATTATTAAACTGGTTCACTGGTTCTTGATTTTCTTTAGCTTTGTTTATTTGACTATGGTTTGTTAGGTTAAAAAAAAATCTGGGTGTCATTTAAGTTTTTTTTATAATATATAAATATATATATATATATGTTTTAATACCTTTAGTAGTCAAATTGATTAATTTTTATTATGTTTTTCTGCAAATTTTACTATATCTACACATTTTATGTTAAATTAAGGAAAAAAAAAACCATAAAGGCCAGTAAAGGGTCGTTACATGTAGATATTGGAATACATATTGCATATTTGTTTTTGCAAGTTAAATGTTGAAAAGGACAAAGAGCTAATTCATGTAAAAACACACTGACAATAGTGTAAAATGAGAAAAAAAAAAATTAATAGTCGATAACGAGCTAATTCATAAACCGTTCATTAACATTTAATCTACAAATTGGACATGTATCATTGACAAGACGTTATCATACATCTGATTGATCGGATGAGCCAACATTTTCAATTCTCACTCCTTAAAGTTTTAATTTAATATGTAATTTTAATATTGCAGTACACCATCCATTATGAACGGTTGATTCCCCAACTTAATAGTGTATGATTTGTTCATTTGAATGTGATTTGTTATACAATCATTTCAAGAAATGTACAATAATTGTTGCGTCATAAAAGACAATAATTCATTTTCTTTTTCCAACTAGATAGTCCACAGAAAATATCTGCATAGATTCTCATATATTGAACCGGCCTTATGCTTCTCAATTTTCTCTAATTTTAGATGTTTAGTATGAGGATTCGTGTCATAGTTCGAATCATGGTTCGTAGTTCGCTACAGTATTTTCTCTCACACAAATATACGTAAATCGAAAATAATTCTGAATGCGTGAACCAAACGTTCACATTTATTTAGCGATAGCATGTTAGGTTAAAGCACTTTAGCTAAAATATTAGACAAAAATACGTACTCAATTGTCTCAAGTTATAGACAAGAATAATAGACAGTCTCAAGATGTTGTCCATCTACACAAAAAGACAAAAACGTATAAAGATAGAGAAAATGATAGTACTAGAGCAAAATGGTAAAAAACTGTAAATGAATCTCACATAGCAATGAGATGATATTCAAAATATCCAAAACTATTATAAGCTGGTTTGGGGTTCAAAACTTTCCGCATTCAGGGTGAGAGGAGAAAAGGATGTTAGATTGTCAATTCTTCTCTAAATATTTGTCAGAAGAAGAGAAATGTGGTATACACGATTTATCACCTATTCACCAGTTTGCAGTAGATATAAATTGTCATCCAGCGATATATGTGAAAGAATTGATGAAGGCAAAAATGAAATTCATTATAAAAATGAGCCCTAAAATTAAACTTTTGCACCTATTGTCCATACGAAGAACCTTATCCGTTGTCCAAACTAGGTTTAAATTGCATTCATTTTACCGATTTGAGTTTAAAATTCAAGTTTTGCTACAGTAAAAAACTCTCAGAAACAATCACATTTAACTTTTTTACATAGTAAAAAATTCTTACATGAAGTCACATCTTAACTCGAATTAAAAACTCGAATCAGTGAACTAAATGAGTCCAAAATATTTATCTCCATTCAAGATCTAAGGCTTTTACAACGCCTTGCAAGGTTCTTTGCATGGAAGGGTAGAGTGCATTGTGCCATGGAGGTTCAATCTCATGTTGGGCGTCGCTTATAGGAAAAGAGACCAACATTAATATGATTTTAATTTGATTTTGTCATTTTTATATTCCAGTATACACTATTATCAATGTTTGATACTCCAAATCTTTTTGCTGAATAGATTCTCCAACTTAATATTGTATGAATTTGTTCGTTTGAATGTGATTTGTCTCTGCATAGATTCCCTCAATTTTCTTTAGTTTTAAATTATTTAACGATAGCACCTTAGGTTAAAGAAATTTGACTAAAATAGGGAGAGAGATCACCACTAACTATGTGGTGTATAATTTTTCTGAATCCAGCTTCAGAATCACGTGTGCACTGTCTTTTTCACCAACAAAAAACACAACTAATTAAGCATTCATGCATATTCAGCCAAAAAAAAAAAAGCATTCAGCGTGATGGAACGCATTAGCAATTATTTATTGCTCGGTTGCCTAATAAAAAATAAAAAGTACCTTAGTGCTTCAATTGATTTGATGACATAAAAGTGTGGGGCTGTATGATTTTGTGTAGATAATTTATAATATTATAAGCTGGATAAGTTATAAATTGTGTGGACATACTATACAATATATCTCGTTATTTTAAAAGTATGGGGTTGTTTGATTTTACATAGAGAATCCATTTCCATTATTGTTGTTGTCATGTACACTTTCATTGCTTCACGAATTAATTAATCAACAAAATCTGCACCTAATAGTTGGAATTTACGCCAACCTTATCCAGACACACTGTCAAGATAGAAAAAGCAACTTGCACATTGTACACTGTCAACAAAAAAATAAAAATAAAAAAAGCAATGTTTTAACCCAAAAAAAAGTTGGAATAGGCAAGTTAAATGGTGCGTTTAAAACTCATTTTAAAATGATTTTATTTTTTGTATGAAAATAAAAATGAAAACGTTTTTAATTTTAGACATAAGTCATTTTTAAAAATATATTTGATAGTTTTATCAAAAAATTATTTTCAGTAGAAAAAAAAATCTATTAATGTCTCTATCTGATCGAGAGAGGAGAAAACAGAAACAAAAAAATAAAAAATAACTAAAAATTATTTTTCATTTTTCTCTCATTTTACGCTAAACTAAAAAATCGTTTCCATTTCTGTTTTTTGTCTTTAATTATGTCAAACACCATTTTTCTCTTATTTTCATTTTTTTCTCAAAAAATGTGAAAAATAAAAATAAAAAAATAATTCTAAACACAACAAGGTGATATATATGTGTGTGTATGTATATGTATATTGATAATTTAAATGGTGATATATTGTATTTATGTCATCACATCAATAATTGTACATTTCCTTACTATAAAACAACTAATCACATTAAATGATTGCATAAAAAAATCACATTTAAATGGTTAAATGGTGGTTCTATTCATACATCTTTAATTATTTTTTGAATATTTATACATATTATCTCATTTGGCGCTCGAGAGATTTAATGAGGTTATACTAGGTCCCTTGATCTTAGAATTGTTTAGAATTGGCTAGTATTTACCAAATAGGATGAACTTGGAAAGAGAGAGTGAAATCAAGACTCTAGATATATTTGTGCATAGAAATTTTTATATTTTATTTTTTTCGTATTTATATTTGTTCTAGTTTTATTTTTATTTCATTTAATTCGTTTGTCTAAATGAAGTTGAGTAACGATAATCACAGTACTTAACGGTAATTTAATATTCAATCTCTGTAAACACGATACTCACTCATCATTGATTATAAAACTTGACACCGTACGTTTGCTTGCTGGCGAACACTAGCTTCGGCCCTGCTCATGGAATGATACTCACACTAGCTTCGTCCCTGCTCATGGAATGACACTCTAGGCCTACTACTTTATTACTAGTTTAAGATTCCGGGCACTTGCAGATTTTTCGCAACAATTTGATCATTTAACATGGTAGTATATCATAATCATGGTGGTTGTCTGATTGATTCCCACGACCAATATTATAACATTTGTTCAATAAAATGTGTTTTTTTATACAATCATTTAATAAAAAGTACAATGATAGGTGTCCTGATCATAGAAAATGCAATTTAACAATTTTTCTTTTCCAACATGCTAGTGCAGAGATAAGATCAACGTACATTCCCATTATTAAACTGGTTCACTGGTTCTTGATTTTCTTTAGCTTTGTTTAATTGACTATGGTTAATTTGTTAGGTAAAAAAAAAAATCTGGGTGTCATTTAAGTTTTTTTAATATATATATATATATATATATTAATACCTTTAGGGTGCATTTAATTACAGTTGAGAAATGGTAATGAGAATAGTAATGAGAATGGAATGGAGAAGAAAATTGATTAATTTGTTTAGTTATAATTTTAAGAATTCTCTAGAATGGAACATGAATATTTTCATGTTGACAAACTTGCCCTTATGCTATATATAACACTAATATTTTATCTATTAATATAATATATAAAATGTAATATAATATAATAAAATTATTATTATATAATATATTATATAATTATGATATATAATATAACAATATTATTAAAATTATTAATATAATTATAATATTATAATATATAAAATGTAATA